AAGGGACAGCAGCAAGCAGGAGGAACAGGAAGCTAAGATGTCTTAACCACACACAAAAAGCAAAGAGGGAACTGGAAATGTGACAGAGCTATAAACTCTCCAAGTCCACCCCCAGTGATATACTTCCTCCATCAAGGCTTCAGATCCTAAAGTTCCATAATCTCTCCCAAACAGCACCAGCAAATTCAGGAGGCATTTCTCATTCAAACCACCACAGTCACTAAATAAATTCTGTACTGTTTGAGGCATTAAAGAGCTTTAGGAGAACAAAAACAGAGTAAGTGGTATTCAAAGTGTATGGAAATTGCAACTGAATATGGGCTCAATCTAGGCCCAATTGAAGAGTTATATTTCAGTAAAGATTTGAGGCCAGTGTAGCAGTTAGCCAAGTAGGTATCTTGAGAAGAGCACTTACAACTTGGAAATAGCCAGTGACTAGACCCTGAGGCTCTGGTGTTATGGTTTGGCTCTTACATGTCCCCAGAGACCCATGTAGCTTGGCACTATTGGGAGATGCTGGAAACTTTAGGAAGTGGGGCCTCATGGAAGACCTTAGATCATTGGGGGTGTGCCCTTGCAGAGGGTTGTGGAACCCCAGCCTGTCTTTCTCCTATTTTCTGGCTACCATGAGGTGAGCATCTTGCTCCATTCAGTGTTGGGGGACCCTGCTGTTAAGGTTGACTCCTTTCTTAGCAGAGGCCTCCTGTTTTCTGCCTGACTTACCTGGAAAGTGCCACCAAGCACGGATGCCTGACCTTATTTGGAACATGACCTTTGGCATAGTTACCTACAATAAAACTGCCCCCAGGTTTTTTCCATATGATAATTAGGCATTGCCCTATAGCCGGATGATAGGATCCCCCTACCACATGTAAATAAAGTATACTATGAGCACCTATCAGCTGAAGCTTTGGCTGCCGCCTCCACACTATATTTCCCCTGATCCCCACTGAATAAACGGAGCTGTATCACTGAATCTAACTCCCCGGAAGGTCTTTTCTGTCGTGCTCACTGGCCGTCCTGACCCCGTTCATTGTTCGTTGCTTCTGCTCCCTTTGTCCTCGTGGATCAGTGGCCAACGGCCCATGAGGGGAGGGAGAGACCCACAGTTCAGCACTTCCAACCATGATGTGTTGCCTCACCAAGGCCCAAAGGCAACTGGACCACCTGCCCATGACTAAAACTTCCAAAACTGGAAGTGAAAAACCTTTCCTCATAGGCCAGCAAGATGGCTCAGAGAGTAAAGACCTGAGTTTGATCCCTGGGCTCCACCTGGTGGAAGGAGAGACCTGACCCTTGTGATGTGCCATGGCACAAGTGAACCCACATATATAACATGTGCATACATGTATATACATAAAATAAGTACAAATGTAATAAAATTTTAAAGTCTTTCCATTTTATAAGTTCATTATCTCAAGTATTTTGTCACAGTGACAGAAACAGTGATATGCTTGACAAGTATGAGGAAAGTAAGGATTAAGGCAGAGAGGTAGAGAGCAGGTCACATAGGCCCTGATAGGCCCTTGCATTACTTGGACTTTATTTTTTACTTACTTTTATTTATGGGTTTTTTTTGAGAGAGAGAGAGAGAGAGAGAGAGAGAGAGAGAGAGAGAGAATTGAACCATGTTGTGCAGGCTGTCCTGGAACTCTCCATCCTCCTGCCTCAATTTCCCAATGCTGAGATTACAGGTATGTACCGCCATGCCCAGCTAGCACTGACTTTGGGTGAATAAGGAAATGTTGGAGAATTTTGAGTAGAGACACATATAATCTGCTTTTTAGAATGCTGAGATAGTACTGAATTTGAGGAAAAAGTTAGGAGGATACCAAACCCAGCCTTCTCTGTTGCTTATTTTGCCTTTAGGCCTCTGGCCCCCTGTCCCCAAGGTTGATCTGGAGCTCCCTACTCCCTTCCCTGTCATCCATCTTTTTTTGCGGCCCAGATTGGAAAAAGGCAGCTGTATTGTCCCACAGTTCCTCTAGGTGGAGGTGCTGCCCTACAGACCGTGAACATCTCTCTGTTTTAGTCTCTTCTCAAAGCAGCAGTCCTTTCCCTAGCACTTTGTGAAATCTAAAGTTTAGGAAGAATGGAGGAGCCCCTAATCATGGTGTACACCCTCCAAGCTGCCTGCCCTTCTCTCCCAAGCCCCTCCCTGCTTTGTCAAAGCACTTGGCACCACCCAGGCAAGGCTGGCCCCAGGACTGTGCCTCAGCAGTGTCTCACCTTGCCACTTCCAAAGAGCCCTGGATAAAAGGCAGAGACGGAGCTGTGACCATGTTTCATCTTCTTTCCCTACTCATGCTTTCCTCTTGTGCCTCAGCTAGACTTGACATTTTCACATTTAGCTCACTCAAGTTCACACACTTGCCCTGGCCCTAAGCTACCTGCTAGGGGCAGCACAAGGTCACATATGCTGCTGCTTTAGGCACAGTCCCCATTAACATGTCCCCTGGGTTTTAGAAAAAAATATTGGGGCTTAGGGCTAGAGAGATGGCTCAGCCATTAAGAGTTCTTCCTGTTCTTCCAAAAGACTGGAGCTTGGTTCCCATGGAGTTCAGTTTCCATAGAGCTCAGTTCCCAGCACCCAGGTCAGGTGGCTCACAACCACTTGTAGTTGCAGGGGATCTGTTGCTCTCTTCTGGCCTCCATGGATACCTGTACATAGGACACACACACACACACACACACACACACACACACACACAAATAAAAAAATAATCATTGAGTCTACTTCCCCTCTTGGAGTTGACACCCACCTGACTGGTTTCTCTAGCTAAGAAATAATGTGCCATTTTTTAATTTCTGTAGCTTCCTCCCTCCTTCCCTTTCTTGCTTCTCACATCCATCATCAAAAACTATAAATCAGAGCCAGGTGTGGTGGTGCACGCCTTTCATCCCAGCACTTGGGAGGCAGAGGCAAGTGGTTCTCTGTGAGTTCAAGGCCAGCTGGGGCTACAGGGAAA